CAGAGACGGGCATAATGGTGCATGCACACTTGTAATCTCAGCACTTAAGCACTAAGCCAGGAGGATCACTACAAGTTCCAACCCGTCCTGGGCTACATAGTGAGTTCAAGGACAGCCTTGCCTGCATAATGAGAACCTGCCAAAATAAACCAACATAAAAAAAACTTTACAGGGATGGACCTTGTGTCCCATGCCACCTATAATCCTCAGGAGGCTTAGGCAGGAATATCTAAGTTCAGACAAACAAGGCTACTTAGCTAGACACAACGGGGGCACCATCAACTTTCCGGAGAAAACAATCAAAGAGAACTAAACCAACAAGACCCAGCGACCTGGATCTTGGAAGGATCTTCAGAGAAACACCTAAGGGGACACACACATATGCAGAGCAGAGACCCTCGTCAGCCTCATCATTCACCCTTCCCAGCTCAGGCAGTCCTCGGTGGTCAGATTTCGTGGCTCTCAGCAGATACCTGTCACCTGTTCTCCTAGTAAAGCTGGGTCCCTGGGTGTGCACCTCCCTTTCTGTGTGTGCACCTGCCAAGGCTAGGCCATGCTACCTACCACAGGAGGAAAGTGGTGCTGATCCAGCCCACAGCTCCTACCATAGCCTCCCCACTCTAACCTCCTTTTCCCCATCATGCTGGGGCTTTTTGCACATTGACCTCTAAAGTGGTCATAACCAGTCCCATGATTGCTGCTGCTTCTTCTTCCTCCTCCTCCTCCTCCTTCTTTTCTATTGTTTGTGTTTGTTTTTTGAGACAGGGTTTCTCTGTGTACCGACCCTAGCTGTCCTGGCACTCTCTTTGTAGCCCAGGCTGGCCTCACAGAGACCTGCCTACCTCTGCCTCGTGAGCGCTGGGATTAAAAGGCAGACGTGCACCATCATGCCCCGGTCCTACGACTGCTTCTGATCTCCACCTCCACTTCTCTCTACTCCGATCACAGACGTTTCCCACCACCAACTCTTGGAACAAGCCGCAAGGCCCGAAACTCTAAATTCTCACTTCCAGCAGGGATAGTCCCTCTCCTTCCCCTATCCAGGAGACCAGGAGGGGACTCTCCACCTCTCCCAGTGCCAGAGACTGGGGACAGCAACACAGTATCCAGGTGGAAGTTCCTTATCTGGCAACAATGTCAAGGAAGATTTGGCCTTTGCCAGAGCGGCTGGGATTAAGACACTAACTCTGAGGGCAATGTCCTACAGTTGAGGAGCCAAGGGGATAAGTATCTTGAGTTGCCTGGGGGGGGTAGATTAGTTTTTAGAATATACCCTGGGCCCCACCCAGCTCTCTGAGAGGTGCTGCATGTTCGCCCCCCAGTGGTCAGGCCAAGTAGTGAACGACTCAGGGCCAGGTCTTCAAAAGGCGGTGGCTACACACACACACACACACACACACACACACACACACACACACACACACAGCCGAGAGCCAGGACACGTAGCCAGGATCAGCTCCAGGCACTTCCCCTTCCCCCAGAACCTCCGTTCCAGCCCCCAGGGACCAGGCAGGATGCCGCTCCCTGACAGGCTGTGTGCAATGCATTGCTGCTCAACCACCATCTGTGGGGACTCTACTCCCAAGGCTGCCCTATCCTTCTTGAAGGCCTCGGGACACAAACTTCAAGGCCTGGGTCCACACAGGACAAAGGAGCTTACTTCGTTCCTTAACTGCAGTCTCTGCACACAGACAAGGAGCTTCCACTCCAGAGCAGCCATTGTGTCTGCCCTGCGAGTCCCAGGCAGACAGAGGTGACACACCCAGGCCTAGCACAGTATGAGTGCCCCATGAACAGCCAACAGGCCATCTTCTCGGGGGCAGTAACACAAACACAGAGACTCGAGACCACAGTGGAACCATGACCCCCGTTGCAATGCAAACAGTGACCCACACAAGACCAATTATTTGAGCCTTAGCCCCAATGAGAACTGGGGCCCAGAGAGAAAAAGGGGAGCTTCATCAAAGCGCACACAGACATCTCACAGAAACAGTCTGTAGTACCACGCCCCATGCTGACACTTTTTTGACAAACTCAGGTATGGGTGATGCTGTGGTCCGGAAGACTTTGGAAAGCAGCCGGTGGTCAAATCCAGGGAACTGCAAGCTCCTGAGAGCCTGGCTGACGCCTGAAGGGGGCAAAGAGAGCAGAAAGCCCTAGGCACTCACCGCTGCTGCGGCCTGAAATGCACACTGTAAATTGACAGCCACCTCCCTTCCTGTAGGCTGAGTGACTATAAGCACATGGTCAGGCCAGCCCCAAGGAGGCAATCTTGGGGGCGTCCAGGCAAAGAGCCCTTCAGAAGTCAGACTAGCTCTCCCAGTCTGCCTCTCTTGTCTGTCTCCAGGCAGTTCCCAAGTTCTGAAAAAGGCAGTGACCACACCCCAATGCCCCACACACTCCTCCACCCCCACAGCTTTACCCCAACTCCTCAAACCAGCTCCTCAGGCTCGGAGTGCTGTGTTCGGCCAGAACCTGCCAGACAGTTCCAAGTGGAGCAGAGGAGTCAGGAGTAGTGGCGCTCTGAACCTCTAAGCAGAGCCTCCCTGCATCTGAAATGACCTGGGGCTCCACAGCTCATTCCCTGCCCAGACTAATGCTACTCTTCTTCCACAGAGCTCCTTGGTTCAATCTCTCCTGTCCTTTCCTGGACCATGCCTGGCTTCTCCTCAGCCCTTTGCATTGCTGCTGACCTCCATATTACCAGCACTAAGCCTCCAATGACTCACGCAGCTTCCTGAATGTCTTGCTTCTCTTAGGGGCAAGAGACTCAGAAAGGGGTTCAGATATCTTCCAGATGTCATCCCTATCAGCACCCAGGGCCCTTTACTAGATCAACCCCCATGCTTCCAGTTCCTTTCTCACACTCCCTTGCCCCGTATCTCAGCTCGGAGCAAGGAAGTGCCCTTAAATGAGGGGTTCCCTTTTACCTCACCGTCTGCACACTCGACATCCCAGATGCATACCTAGCCCATAGTTTCTCAAGGTGAGAGAAGGAAGCCAATGGTTCATTCAGCTTAGGAAAAGAGGACTACCCTGCCTCAGGGACTTCCCTCATGGGACACACCAAAGCAGTTCTACTCACCTAAACTATTCTCAGTATAGGTGGAGACCCTTAAATGTTTCCCAAGGCATCTTCCTGTCCGCACCACACACGCGCACGCGTGTGCACACACACGCACACACACACACACACACACACACACACCTATAAGGACAACACCCAGCTGAATCGCTAGATTCTGTGAGAAAAGGAGTGCAGTGGAGATGGTCCCTGCCATTGAGGTTAAATTTTAATGGGAGACTGTTTCAAAACTACTTATTGGGAGCCCAGCAGTGTTCCGGGGGCAGAAGTAGACCTCTGAGCTCTTTTCTTCCTGGGAATTCCGGGTCACTCTCCAAGGACCCCAACTACCTGGGGAAGCTTTTCTACAAATCCCCTCCCCAGAACAGGAACATTAAGAATACAAGCACCCCAGGAGCACCTCGTGGCCTCGGAGACAGGCCAGGACCACACCCTGCCAAACCAGGGTGCCAACGCAGGCACCATTTGCACAATAGTCTGTGCTCACATTGTGCAGAAGTGACAGAGTGTGCAGGCAAGCACGTACAATACACACACACATCGGTAACACTACGTTGTCAGGGCACAGTTTGAGTTGTGGGATATCCCCGGGTCCCCGCCAAAAGTCTTCCAATGCTCACCACCAAGAACAGCTAAACCTGCTGCCAGCCCAGCACCACCAAGATTCTGCATCCCCACCAACCCCGCCCTGACACTGCAAGGGGACTCTCGGCCAGAGGAGCCCAGGCCCTTGCACACTGCACATCCCCTCCCTGCATGGGAAAGCCTTACATAACACAGCTCTCTGCACACACCCTAAGCACGCTGCTTTCCAACTCCACAGCAGGCTTTCGCCCCCCGCCCTCTCCGCTGGAACTGCAAAAGTGGAGGGTTCCAGAGTGAGCAGTGAAGTCCTTCACCTACGCCCAGCGCTCCGGCCCCCACCGCCTACTCACTGCCCCTTTCCCCCTCCCCTTTGCCCCTCACCACTCCCCCCCCCCCCCGAATTCTGGTTTGAATTAGTCACCGGCTCCAACCACTACATTCCTCAGGCTGCTGGCGTCCAGCCAGGCGCTGGGGCGGGGGCCATCCCGCCCGGACGAGTTTGGGAGTGGGGTGGGGTAGGGAGAAAGCACCGCCTCTAGAAGGAGCAAGGGAGGTTCTGGGGACTGAGTCGCTTGCACAGCCCCCCTCCCCGCCCACCCCAGCGCAGGAATCTCCCTAATTATGTCCCCCACCCCCACTCCCACCCATCCCGCAGGGAGGCGTGCTGCAAACTTCCAGGCTCCAACGCCCAGGAGGAAGAAGGGAGTCTTCAGGATCTGGGAACACGGAGGGGCAAGACTAGGGCGGGGCAGCTGCCGAAGGCGCCGCTAGGAACCAGAAAGGGAGAGGCTGATGGTACAGAGCAGGGTGGGGCTGAGGGGGACTCCAGACGCGAAGTTGGGGGCCGAGGTGTGGAGAGCCACGAAAGACAGCAGAGGGACACGCGGTGTCGGGGCGCCGTAGGGGCGGGAGAATTGCCACGGGGATCTCGGAAAACTTTTCCAGTAAACATGGAATAGGAACTCAGCAGCGCTTTGAGCCACCGCCCCAAAGTGGAGGGGTGGGACAGGGGCCACCAGGCCAGGAACGCTGCGCCCTGCAGTGCAGTTGGGACGACAGTCCACCCGCGGGAGAAATATAAAGCGCAGCAAAGCATCTATCAAAGCGATTTTCTAACTTAGCCCGACTTGTGCCCCAACTCCAGGGAGAATATTCCACTCCCGAAGTGTGACCCGTCGCCTGTCCGGGCAGTCACAGGCGGCCAGGTTTGCTCTGAACTGTTGGAACCCTCAAGTGACACTACCGCAAATGCACCTCGCCCGAGTCCCTCTTTCCCTGGCCACCGGTGTCCTAGTCCCAGACCGCACCAGCCGGCGTTTCGCTTCCCTACCTGCGGACTTAGTCCCAGGACGCAGCCATAGCCGACGTAGGGCCCGAGGTCGCAGTGCTGTGACTGCTGGTGACGGCGAGCCCCAGTCGGGGCGGGTCTGGCAGGGCGGACAGTGCAGTCCCCGCGGCAGAGCTGCTCCAAGTGGCCGGGCCCCCGCGCGCGGAGGCGGCTCTTGTAACTCGGGCGGGTCTGCCCCGAGCTGTGGGGAGAGGGCGGGGCCGGGCGGGGCCCAAGCAGGGCTGGGACCCGAGAGCGAGACCAATGCTGAAGCCACCCGGGAGTGGGCTGGTGAGGGGAGACTGGCGAGGGACGAAGAGGCATCGCCTTTTTCCTTCCCCTATCCCATTTATTGCTCCTGTCCCGGGTCGGGATCTTCCCACCCCAGTTTGAGCAGTGTGTGTCTCCACCGGCAAGAAATTCCTGGAAGCACACAGGAGCAGGGACTCACTCCAACCCTCACAGTTGGAATCCAGCGTCAACCCATTCTGCAGGAAGAGCCAAGAAGCTCAGATGATTCAGCCTCGACCTCCAGCCTCAACACAGACCTTTGAGCTTTCTCTCAAGCTTAGACACTTCAGTCCCAGGCCCAAGCCTCCCGTCTTGGTTCCCAAGTTTCTTGCAGCCGCGCCCATTTCTCGCCTTCAGACTGTCTCAAAGCTCCTACAAAATATGCTGACTCTCAAACTCAGATTTCAACCCCCAGGAATGGGGTCACCTATGCACCCACGGTGCTATTCAGCAGCTGCAGCTGCACCAGAGTCAGGCTTGTAGCCCTTGGACGAGACATGGGGCTGCTCAACCTCTTCTGTAGACACTTGTCCTCGTGCCCTTTGGGGTTTTTGTTGTTTTGTTTGGAGGGCAGCAGTTTATGAAGCCCTGGCTGTCCTGGAACTGACTAGACCAGGATAACCTCGCAGATTCGCCTGCCTCTGCCTCCCTGGGATTCAAGGCATGAGCCACCATGCCCCACTAACCTGGAGGAACCCAAGATCCAGCTTTTCCTTTGCCTCTCCAGTCTTTCTCCTACCCCTCAGCCCCTCCCCCATATTCCCATTTGCAAATTGTTCAGCTCCCCAATTTACAGCCATTTCCCACAGCCACTTCTAACTAGATGTGGATTTTATTAAATGTTTAATGATGGGGTTGCAGGGACCTTCTGGCTACATCCTCCCCACACACCTCCCTTTTTCTTCTTCCCCACGAGTTCTACCCTCCCTGGCAAGTGGCTACCCAACTGCCCACTCTAGTTTCCCTTCCTTTCCAAACTCCCCAAGAGACCTAAGGCTGGAGAACTGAGACCTTGGCCTGAGGTAGGAGCGCCTTCGCTCAAAGACCATGAGTGGGCTGGTGCTGAGACCAGCCCTGCCCTGTCCTCTGAAATGGCAAACATGTTTACAGGCTAAAAATATCAGTCAAGTCTCCTGCCAGCCCTGGGGGCTGTGTCCAGGTCCAGTTACCACACAGGGGACAGGCGGAGGGGGGAGGGGGACAACAGAAGGGAATGACAGACAACAGACACATACATAATGGACACGCCAAGGGGGAGAAATGTAGGTAGAAATTCAGACAGGTATGGGCATGTAAAGACAGACAAAGCAGAAAATTGGCCACTAACATGCTTCTCTCTCTCTCTCTCTCTCTCTCTCTCTCTCTCTCTCTCTCATCTAGTGACTCAACCCCACCAGATATCATCACGAGCATACTGTCTGTCATAGGCTCAACCTTTCAAAGAAAAAAATCAAATCTTCTCCTTTCCCAGCACTCACTAGGCGCTACATAGTGAGTCCCAGGACACCAGAGATACACTGTATGGATCAGGTCAAAACACAACTCAAAAAACAAAACTCAAGAGCCAGTCATTCTTTAATTTATTTATTTAGTGTGTATGAACATGTGGAGGTCAGAGGACAACCTGTGGGAGTTGGTTCTCTCCTTCTACCACGTGGGGCCTGGGATCAAACAGGTCACCAGGCTTGGTAGCAAGTGACTTAACAGGCTGATTCATCTCCTAGGCCAGCCCTCAATTGTGATTTATTGAAACAGGGTCTTATAACATAGCCCAGGCTGGTCTAGAATTCACAATATAGGTTTGGTTGTCCTCATGTGTACAGCAATTCTGCCTTGGCCTCTCCAATGTTCACCACATCAAGACATTTTATTCCATTCAATTCATATTCATACATTTATTGAGCCAGGCATGGTGATGCATACCTTTAATCCCGGCACTCCAGAGGCAATGACTGGAAATCTTTGTGAGCTTGAGGCCAACCTAGGCTAAATAATGAGACCCTATCTATATATAAATAGCATTTATTTAATCTCTTAAACATAGACCAAGAATAAGATAAAGTACCCTGCAACCCTAAACCAGGTAATCCCTGTTGACATTTTAAAAAATTAAAGCCTCCATAATGATTAGGGGTATTTATTGGGTATTTGTTGTTTTGTGTGTGTATGCACTAGGAATCGAACGCAAGACCTCTCCCATGATAAAATGAACACTACACAACAATGCTGCATCCTAGTCCTTGAAATGTAAGCACTATAGAGAGGCAGAACAATAAAGAGTAAACTCCTGCCTAGTATGGTGTACACTCTGAGACTGTCTGGTTCTAACCTCCTGGGAGTCAGGGTCATCTGTGACCTTGGCTACATAAAGGGTTCAAAGTCAGCCTGAGCTACATAATGCCTTGTCTCCCAAAAGTCACCAGTTAATCATTTACCAACAGATTTTTAACTTGGAAATAAATCTTCATCTGATTCCTTGAAAGAACAAGTTTCCTGATGCATGATCAACAGGGAATTGATTTCTTTATCCCTGGGCTTTCGGGAAGGTGGCTATGATACCAATATAAGCCCAAGGCACTGAGCATCTGCAAGGAGCACTCCAGGTGGGGTGGGGGTGAGGGGGTTGGGGGAAGGAGGTTGGCACAGGAGAGAAAGAAGAAAAGGAAGGGATGTGAGCATCAGTTATCCCAACCCTGCTGCACACTACATTGGCTTCTCAGGAGGGAGAGCTTCCTGGGCTCTGAGCCAATTGTACTGCCCCACTGTTTGTTCTGGCCACCCTCTTTATCAACAGGGAAGAAGGCAGGAGGGCAAGGCTGGCTTTGGGAGCCGTTAGCAGGGCAGGGATCACTGTCCAGACACTTCATTCTGGGGTAAGCAGGCCAAGATTACCTACCTGATCAGGGCCGAGTTCTGGGAACTGGCTCCTGTCCCATCCCAGGCTATGAGAACAGAAACGGGATAACCTCAACCCCACTCTTTAAAGATCATGATAGTGGGACTGGAACTAGACCTGAGATGTCCTAACTAGCCCAGAGGAGGGCTTGTCTTCCAGTTTCCAGACAGGTGTGATGACAGTTCCATGACTGTAATCTGAATGCTCAGGAAGGTGAGTGAGGAGGCTCACAGAGCTCCAGGCCTGTTTGGACTATTTAGTTCCAAGCCAGCCTGGGCTACAGAGTCTCAAAAGAATCACACACACAAAAGCTTTCCGTGGAAATTCCTGCCTCTAACCCACCCCGCCAGAGCGGCCATTGTCTGTGACTCTTCCCATATTAGCTCACTTACTCCTCACACCCTGAGAGGGAGATACTTGAGAGGAGATGGTCTCAGAGGGGCTGCTGATTTACCTAAAGTCACACAGCTGGCAAAGGAAAAATTAAAGTTCCCACTCATATTTACGCTCCCAAAAGATAAGGGACTTTCCCACTTCATGTGTTGGTATGGGGGGCACTGGCAGACACACAGCAATCACTCAGAAACAGTTATTCCTGTGATGCTAGTGACCAGATCTAGGGTCTCATCAATGCCACCTTAAATATATATATATATATATATATATATATATATATATATATATGCATATCTCCCCAGCCCTCAGTGAGACATTCACGAGTGCTCTCCAGATAACGGACTCTAAAACCCTTCTTCGCGTAAGTGTCTTGCCTCTCTATCCCGTCTCCTCCAGACTGTCAGCCCCCGGGAACAATTTCCCGACTTGTAATCCTTTGCTGCAGCTGCGCAAACATTATTGTCCATCCAGCACTGGCCAAGGACTTGTTTCAGTGGAACTCAGCAGGATGGAATCCCTGCCCTACAGCCACATAGTCCAGAAGGAGCGTCACGGCCCCTCACCTTGCCTTCAGCTCCCTGCCGGCTGTTTTCAGAAAATTGAAGGCTGAATTTTTTTTTATTTTTTTTTTTTGGTTTTTCGAGACAGGGTTTCTCTGTAGCTTTGGAGCCTGTCCTGGAACTAGCTCTTGTGACCAGGCTGGCCTCGAACTCACAGAGATCCACCTGCCTCTGCCTTCTGAGTGCTGAGATTAAAATAGTGTGCCACCACTGCCCAGCTGAAGGCTGAATTTTCTAACTTTTATTCTGCTATCCCACACCCAACACAAGATGCATGAGTGAGTGCTCTAGCTTCCCCTCCCCCCACCTCCCCCACACACACCTTGAAGAGTCCCCTCTGGACCAGGCAGTGTTGGTGCAGACCTTTAATCCCAGCACTTGGGAGACAGAGAGGCAGGAGGATCTCTGTGAGTCTGAGGGTAGCCTGGTCTACACAGCGAGTTCCAGGACAGGTAAAGCTATACAGAGAAAGCATGTCTCAAAAGCGAAAAAAGAAAAAGAAAGAAAGAAAGAAAGAAAGAAAGAAAGAAGAGTTCCCTCTGTTCTAACACTGTCAAGGAAACCTGTGTTTTCAGCAAGGTTTCAGACTTCTGTCAACACTGGCCTGGGTTCAGGTCAGCTGTAAAGCTGGCACAGGATCACCCTTCAGAGGTGCCCACACCTCAGGCCTCCACTCACAGGCAAAGCTACGTGAGAGCAGGACTCGTCACTGGGATAACCCAGCTTCCAGAAATGACGTTCCTCCCCTGGGGGGATTCCCTGAAATGAAGGAGTTATGAGTATGTGTGTGTGTGTGTGTGTGTGTGTGTGTGATGAACCTTAGTCTCCTAGGTTGCCAAGCAACATGCCTATGTTTTGTTCCTATTATGCCTGTTTCCATAGTAACCACAAAGGGGAGCTCTGTGGATGGGCCCTCTGCCAGGGGATTCCCCTTCCCCTCCCTTCTTGCCACAGTCCCTTTTTCTGAAATCAGTACATTAAAGAAAGAAAAAAAAAAAAA